AGTGGCCCTAACCATAAGGAGCAGAAGATTTGGTCGCGCTGGGCGACTTGTAATCAGAATTTGACCCCCAGACCCTCCACTAGGTACGCTGAGCCACCTGCACCTTGCTGCGTTGGCTATCCGTGGGTACTTTTGTATCTGTTCCGTCCTTATAATATATTCTTAGCCAACATACCTGCACACGGGCACAAACTGGACCGGGGGTTGCCGAAGTTCCATTCGGTGGCATAGACACCGGCCTTGATTGTCCTTGCGTTGAAGGAGGAGACGTCATTGTATGACCAGCAACGGTGGAATGTGGTCGAGGAGAGCCCGAACTGACCACTGTCATAGAGGACGGAATCACTGTCGGGAATCGTCGCGGCAATCGGCATCTGACAATTGTTCTTTTGAGGGAGCAATAACCACACAAATATCAAATGTATAGAAACACACATGTTGAGCGAAACGATAAAAATCCGTGTTCTGTTCGATTATAGGCTCAAGCTTCAGCGTCATACCTCCCTGTGTAGCAAATAAAATTAATGGCATATATTGACCGGCCTTGAGAGCTTTTCAAAAATTTGGAATAAAAAACAGAGGGCATACTAATGTGCTTTATAGTCAGAACTATGCTGAATATTCGGTATCGATCAAATAAGAAAGGAGTTCTAGATATGCGGCAGGAAGCAGAAACCTGAGTAAACCACCAAAAACCCGAAAATTGGGCCCCTAATCCTGTCCTCGATTACGAGCGAGTTACGCCTTACTTTTGAGTGTGTCCCAATGGACTATAAGAGAACAAGAACGCACTCCGCCCAACTCACCCGCAACCTTCTTAGAATGCGATTTTCCTATTTTTGCTTTTTTTGGGGAATAGAATCCTCCTACGTGAACTTATAATAGTATGTTGTCTTTAGTGATCACAACTGCCATATCCATATTGGGAAAAAATGTTAAAATTTTCCGGGGACGATTCCTTCAAGGGTCTGTCTGATGCGGTAAAGGTGTTTGTAGAAAACGTGCCCTGAAAAATTAATACTTACCGGCATCTGACCATTCGCATACACAGCCGCATTAGGGTCATACGGTATCGGGTACGTCGGCGCAGACATCTGTCGCTGTCTCAGCGGTACAGCTGGCTCTGCTGAATGCGCTGAAATGCTACAAAAAGGTTAAAAACATGTCATAGCAAGAAAAGTGGAATCACTTACACGTCCTTTGCTTGCTGGCAAACTCTTGAAACAGTCGACTCTTGTGTCATTGGGTTCTCATCTGAATAAAAACCAATTTCTCCCTCAAAAACGTCTTTTTTCCATTTCTACAGGACAGTTTGGGTTTCCAATTCTTTCCTAACAGAAACCGGAATGTTCACCATTTTAAATACGAAAAAAGTAAGGTCGTGCCAGTTACTGCTAAACCTGAGTAATATGCAGCCGTTGAAGCGTCGTGACCTCTTTAATAGTAACATAGGAGAGTAAGAGCAAAAGAAGTACTCCTCCTTCGTATTGCAAAACAAAAATGTCTGACGTCTGAACAAAGATTTTCATATTTTTGACGATTTCCTTTTATTTTTTCCAACATTTTCATTACTCGGAACTCTGTTTTCATCACTTAGCATGTGCCTTCAAGTCCGATTGTATCCGCAACGGCATTATGAGTTAAATGTTAGTTAAATTCAGTACAATCCTATACCGATCCATTTGGAGTGTTCACTGGTGATTAAAATATTTCAGGACCAAGAAAATCTGTGGAGTTATGAAAAACTGTCGCAATTTACAAGTTCTAGTGAACCAAATGTGGCACCTACTTGGAGTGTTCATTTCAGGAACCGGAGGTAGAGATGACTGCCGTTGAGAGGATGGAGGAGGAAGTGAGCTGGAAAGCAAAATCTCAGTGCACATTTCGGTAGAGAAAAGGATCACAGATTTTAATTAGTATAATTGTATTGAGACAGGCCACAGATATGATTTACAGGCCTCAAATCAGAAAAGCTGGATGAACAACTTTGCCTCTGAGCTCACCTTGAAACGAAAGGCATGATCGAGAACTATGAATACTAGGTAGTCTGCAAGGAGTAAGCAGTGAAGGATGAAGTGTGACTTGTAGTAATGGGCCTCAACTGACTGACATTTGACAGCTGATTTCCAACCGATGCCAACAAAACATCATTCAGGTGGCATCTGCTCAGTTCATTGTTGATAAATTGCAGCCAATTTCTCGAGCTACAGGATCATTTTGACCTGAGGCGAGGTGGGAAATTATGCACTGTCAGAAGCTACTCTCTATTACCCGACAGGAAGCCTGTCGCGCGGCTAGAAGGCAGAGACCCAGACGGGTCAGCGGACGAGTGGCTGCGCGTATCGTGCAATGTGGGAAGTACTACATCCCATTTAACTTGACGCTATGTGCCCATGTC